TTGTTGTTGTTGTTGTTTACTGTAGTAAATAACTCTAGCCGTGTTTTAGCTCATGTCTCTCGTTTGGTCTCAGTGTGATGTACACTTTTGTTTCCTTTTACGTTTAACACACGTGCAGTGAAACTCTCCCAACATCTGGACACACATTGAGGTGGCAAACCTGTCAGGGTTGTTTCAGTTCCTTCAATGTGAAGATTAATTCATTTTCTCTGTAACTGAACATCTTTTTGGTTTTGGACTGTTGGTTGCACAAAACAAGATATCTGAAAACCACGACGACTGGGAAAATTGAAATGGACATTTAAAGAATATGAAGATTAATTAATCAATCAATAATGAAATCATCGTTGGTTGCTCTCCCATTTCTTTTCCTTTCTTGGTTGCCACTTTTTGACAGATCTCCTTTAAGCGTGACTTTAACTTTTGATGTTAACTAACCAGGTTTCATTGTTCATCATAAACCAAACTAATCTTTTTGGATAAGATATTTACAAATGTGGTACAAGCTCAAAACTAAGATAAAGCTTAAATAAAACCAACCTAAACCAGTCTGTGGTTCTTTAACTGTGTTTTGTGAATGCTGAAATGGACCTAGAGCATAACATGGATGCCGTTGGACGCCTTGGTTGCGTTCCGTCTTCATTCTTACGGGGATTTGCGTTTCCTTTTGTCGGTAATCCTCCGGCCTGATAGGTGCAGTGATCCCTCTGAAGTGACGGTGAACCCCGACCTCAATGCTGACCCCTCAACCCCCGTCAGCTCGCCACTAACAGAGCGGTCTCCTCCCCGTGTGGATTAGACCCGTCTTACCGACTTAACATTGATTTTCTTTATTCACAAAAGCAGATACTGTCGGCTGATGAATTGGATCATTCTCAGGGCGCTCGTGAGAGCTGGGATGAGGCTGGATGTTGGGTTTGTTATCCGAATCTACTCGCACGGTGAAATATAATACAATGGAGTTCAGCAGAGACACTTTCAGATCGGCTTACGGCTTTTTTACTTGTTGGTTCTTGAGTATTTGAGGTTAAGTTCATTTTTGTATACATGTTTGTGACAAAACAAACATGTTCTTGTTCTTGCATGAAAACGAAACGATATTAAACAATATAAACAACGACGAAGCAGCATGAAACCATTAACCAGTCGTACAATTTCCGTTCAGCTGTTTTAGAGAACAATATATTAACAATAGTCCCTCTCTAATATCTTTTTTTATATTGCTGCAGAAACACCACCTACAAACAACTATTTATTCTACATTCTACAAGATTACTTTTGAACACGTCATGAGAATGTAATAACTTATCTTCACCTGATACTCATTTTTACTCAGAGCTTGAATGCATTATAAATAAAACTTAATGCAACCTCCGTTAACGTTAGGACTGTGCTGCCCACCGGCCGCTAACAGCTAACACTAACTAGCTTTCCTCCAGCTGATGTTGTTCACATGTAGTATTATCAGGGAGAAATAATGTGCCCGTTGATGGTGAGTTTACTGCGTTCTTTAGGATTTTTAGACGCCGTTGGTCTCGTCACGTTTTCATAATTTTGGCATCGACTTGTTACCGAAATATCGTTTCTTGTGACATCCTTAGTCACTATTCTGTATTACTGATTCTGTATTTTTGTGTCATTGTCTGAAAGAAAGGAAAAGTAATAGTCAGAAGATGGTGTGTGTTATAAGTAAAGTGTGTTTTCTGAATGGTTTCTCTGAATCTACGCTCTGTACACACCCAGTTTCTGTTTGCTACCAAACATCATCAGGTTGATGAACTGCAGGAGGATGTTTTTCAGGCTTAACTGTTTTTATTTTTTATCCATGGCTGCCCTGCAGGCTGCAGCCATGAGGAAAGATCAGTCCTCCTCTCTGCCCCCCCCCCTCGTTTCTGGTCTTTAATTTCAATTAACTCACGCTGCCGGTTGACTTTGATGGCATTAGCCTCTCCTCCTCTCCTCCACACTCGTCCCTCTGCTCTCGTCTTCACTTGTTGGTTTTGCGAAAGCCGGTGGCTTTAACTGCTGTGATCAGAATCTGAACGCTTCGCTTCCACTTCCTGCCAGCGTCCACACACACTCACACACTGAAGACTCTGTATGGTCTGTTCATGAGGAAAATGTAGGCGGGCCGTCCTGTTAGCAAAGCTCAATTAAATGATTGACAGGATGGAGATCATCCTCTGACGTTTCTACAGTTTTATAAATGCACCTTTTTAAGGATGCATGCAGGTAACAAGAGGTAATACATTAAGTTTGAGCTTGAGCAGATGGATCTATGGAGACAGATGCCTCTTCCTTAACAGCAGAAAAAACATGTTTCCACTGCAGATAAACTAAACTTATGAAACTGCAGAAAATGAGTCTGTGTTTGTTCTCTGGAGCTCTGCTGTCACTGTCTGTATGTGTGTTTATGCAGCATCACAGCTGGCATTCCTGACCAGAGGAGGACTGGTTTCACAGCTTTTCTGTCACACGGTGGTTTCACACCTTCGTCTGACACGTCGCTCCGACGTTTAGGAATTAAAATTTCCCCATCAGCTGCCTCTGAGGAGTTTATGCTTCAGAACAGACGTGGAACTCTGGAAACTAGATGTCAATCAATAGAATTATATCGCGCTGCATGTGCAGGTTTGTGAAAGTCTGGAGAACTTATTTGATCATTTCTAGTTGAGAAATTAGCTCAAAAGTCGAGCAAAGCATTTGCTTTGCCGCTCACACACACGACTATAAAGTGCGTTTAATTATGAAAACATAACAATCTGGTTCCTCTCGTGCTGCAATTTCGATCACGACTGTTTTCAGCTGGTTATTTGCATAATTGAAAGATGTTAGAGTGATGTTTTAAAGCCATCAGATTATCTTTGTGTAGAGGATTAAATGTAAATTTGATAAAATGAAAGTGAGTCTGACAAAGCAGAAGGAATGCCTCGTAAAGATGAGGTCAGTGTGTCTCTGTTGTGTTCCCTCTAAAGAGCTGCTGGTTGTGCTTCAGAGTGTAAACAGTCCAGAGCCTTGTACTGCAGCTTCTACTGAGGATGAACACGCATCATCATCTGACTGCATGACAGGCTGCTGGTTCTCTACTGCGGTTCTCTACTGTCTGCTCTACTGCGGTTCTTTTCTGAATTTTGCTGCGGTTTCTTTAGAGAAAGTAGAAGATGATAAATAAATACAGTGGAGAACGCGGTAGAGAACGGAGGACGGTAGAATAATAAGTCATAATAAATACTGAATAGATTATGAGTTTGTACAAAGTCAGAATCCTGCACGTGTCTGATGTTGAAGACCCACTCCTCCCCCTGTACCACAACGTGCAAACATTATCGAAATTTCCATAAGGCCTTTTGCAATTTAAAAATGCCAACACAGATGTTGTAAACAAACATGATCTGCTGCATAAATGTTCTCCGTGCTGCTTGTCACAGTTTGAATCATTTATTAACATTTCAACCAAAATAATTTAAACATCTTAATGCTGTTTCCACTCAGCTGTTAGAATGCATCGTTGTTCACGTGAAAATATTCTGGTGCAGAGCTTCAGTCCACCTTTGTGTGTGGGAGATCTGTTTTTCCCTCCGTCTGTCTTTTTCTTGGCACCGCCTTCCCATCCATAAACGAAGTGTGTGTATATATGTGTGTGTGTGTGTGTGTGCGTGTGCGCTGGACAGAGAAGGCAGCAGCTGTTTTTTCGCCAACCTCGTGACCGCTGTCAGCCCCCGTCTTCGGACATCTATTTTCTCCTCGTCTGTTCTATAATAACTCAGCGGCTGAATCCCCACCGCTGCCGTTTTTCCCTCTCCTGAAGTGGAGCTACATACACACACACACACACACACACACACACACACACACACACACTGAAGCTGCTGGTCAACTCATCAACACAGTTTTCCACACTGTTCTTAAGTACATTTTCCAGCTGAGTGTGTTAGTTCAGGCGGCAGCAGGGTGGTGTTAGCTGAAGATAGCATTGTTATTTATTTACTATTTTTAACTACAATATCGACATCCACGTCTGTCTGTCCAGAACATCGGTCCAGCGTGTGAAATCTCCTCATCTGTCATCTAATTATGAAATCATTCATGATTCAATTATTACTTGCATTGTATTTAAATTAAATGTGTGATTTAGTCAAAATCTAAAATACATAAAGAAGGTTTTTTGTGATGGTGGTTTACATCTGCCTACATCCTGGTAGTTTTCCTGGTATCACACACATCTTAGTAACATTTTTAAGTGGTGCTATTTTTGACTTAAAATGTGTCTGTGGTGAAAGGTCATGGCTGGGTTTCAGATGTTCTGCCCCCTCGTGGTTTCTTACGTCAGGAGTTTTATTTTGTTAGTTTGTCTGACTGTGTGAGCAGCTTCCTGTTCTGTATCTCTGCTCAGAATCCGTAAACCCGCTGGTTCGTGTTTGACTCTCCTCTCAAATCTCCGGGTGTGAATATTGACTCACTCTCCTGACGTCTGCCTCCTTGACTAAATAAAGCCTCCTTTGAGGAGCTCTGTGCTGTCAAATAAAGAGGCTTCTGTGTTTGAGGGGACGAAGAGGAGGAGGAGGAGGACGATGATCCGACTGTCAGCCACACTGCTCCACTTATCTCTTTACAAACAGCAACAAACCGCTGACACACTGACATTAACAGGGATCTTTGAGCATGTTCATGTCCAGGAGGTCTCGAGGAGGGTCTGAGGAGGTTCCATTGATTCTTGGAGGGGTTGTTAGTGACGTGTATGTGTCCTTTATGGGGTCCTAGGAAGGATGCATGAGTTTTCATCAGTCCTTGGAGGTTTTAGAGAAGCTTCCATTAGTAATTGGATCCAAGGAGTCATTGAGAGGAATCAAAGAGTCGTTGGGAGGAATCAAGGTGTCATTTAGAGTCATTAACTAAACTTGGAGAAGCAGCTCGTCCTGTAAAGTCACAACAAAGTGTTTGATAATCACTGAAATATACAAACGTTTTAGTTTCATAATTCTCGTTTGTCTCTCCGACAGGTCGGTGATTGTGATGTCGGACTAAATCCGGCCGGTTTCCTCGGCTTCAAGACTACATTTCCCATGGAGCTGTGCGCTGACACACATACTGTTGTACCATGGAGCCACCAGTCAGGTATGGAAACACACACACACCAGTCAGACGGCTGTTCCAGCTCAGTCCCCTTCAGTCGGTGTGTAACGTCTGCAGGATGTTTATTGTGTTTACATAAAAAACATCACTGGGTGGCTTTACCCTGTGTCTCCAACACACACACACACACACACACACACACACACAAACATCCATACACTCTCCTTTTTTTTTTAACTTGATTAGCCAGCCCCCCCCCCCCTCCCCCCTCCTCTTTGAGGAGATTAACCCCTTGACCTTTGTGCCGAAGGCAGAGCTGGCCAATCAGGAGGCTTCCTGGCTTTTAATTACAGGCTCTGATTGAGTCATTTGCGCTGTCATCTGGTTTGATTAATAACCAAGAGAGCAGGAAGAGCGGTGATTACACGGAGCACGAAGGTTGTGTGCGCGTCTGTGATATAGGTGTAGTAATGCCTTGAAAGTGTGTGTGTGTGAAGGGTGAAGTCATACCTTCATGTGGGGAAAGTGTGTGTGTGTGTGTGTGTGTGTCTGTTTTTGGTTGGTGTGTGTTGCTCCTGGAGTGTCCACAGATTATTTTTCTGGGCGCCTGGGTCTTTGTTTCAGAGCGCTCCGATTTTCTTTTTGTGCGAATGCTCCGGGCGTTTCTAGTTGAAACTTTTCAGAAAAGTGCTGCACTTCCTCGTGACCTGCCAGCACTTTTCTGCCAGAAAAAAAAAAATGCTTCCAGAAGCATTGCGTGCAGTCGTGACAAGTCCACCTCCAACCTTCTCTCTCACTCTCGCTCGCGGCAATCGCTGTTATTGCAGTCCAAAAGATAGATGTAAATTCATGTGTTTTCATCTCACGAAATACTCTTCTTCTTCCCCGTTTGTTGCCGTTTGGCCTTTTGAAACTACATTGACAGACTTTCCAAGAATTCTTACCTTTAGCTTGATACGTTTAGTTTATTGTGTCGTGTGACAACAATGGAAACGTGTGTTGTTGTGTTGGAATAGAGCTGTCGTTCCTGAATTAGTACATTAGTAGTTTTAATCACGCATTATAAGCTGCTTCGTGCTCGTGTTTGTTAGTTAAAAATATCTATTTTATATTGTTGCAAAAACATCTACAACTGTATTTATTCAAGTTTCTCATCAAAAACTCAGATTTCCTTTGAACACATCATGATAAGTTGTAATATACCTTCGCACCAATACTCATCTTTAGTTTTTAGGACATCAAACGCACCCTAATGTTCATCCTCCGCTGACGTTACGGTAGCTGTTAGCTCTGTGATAATCAGGACCGTGCTACGGACTGACACACAGAGTTTACTTCCTTCGGGCAAGCAGGCTAACGTTACTGTCGAGCCCTGGGAAGGAATTGTTAAATACATTTTAAAGTTTCTTGGGAAGTTGTTTGTTTTCATCATGAGTTATTTAGAAGGACTGTGACTGTGTGTTTAAAACAAGGCAGCAATGCTGCCTTTTGTTTCAGGACGAGGTGACTCAAGCGTCTGAATCTCAGCTCGCTGTCAGACCTTCAAACAGAGCCGGCCAGTCTGCAGCACAAAATCACTCCCATATGTCCCTCAGCACACACACATATACACACATATACACACACACACACACACACACACACACATACCGCCCTGCACGCTTCGCCCACACACTGCAGCCTGGCTCGGATCAGGTCGGCCTGGCTCGGCTTACAGTTTGTCCTGGCATATTGACGAAGGTTAGACGACGTTCAGGTTTTAGGTACGGATGATTTCAGGCTGAATCCACAGAAAATACAAAAAGTCGGATCGTATTTCAAAGTAAATCCTGCTGTAAAAATTAGCATGGCAATGTAATTGTAGATCAATAGACTATCAATTGCTTCTTTTATGATGCTTATACTGTTTTAGATGTTTAGTTGAAGCTGTCATAAAGACGTTTAAATAATATAAATGAAATGTTTTAGCGTTGAGCTCATAGTTAGTGATGTTGTACTGGACTGTATTATATTCAGGTATGTGAAGAGAGAGGACAAAACATTTAAAACACCTGAATATACAAATATAATTGACTATATCATTTCATTTACATATTTATTATACATTTATCAACAGTTCTGACGAGTGAAGCCAACGCTGAAGTGTCTTAAACTTACTTAACCCGACTTCTTACCTGATTTATTACCTCAGTAAACATCGTGAACATGAGCTTATGGGCTAAATTGCTAGTTTCAAGTCTTCTTCACGACATGCGTGATGTTCAATGAGGGTAAAATAGGCCATGAAGCGGAGGCCTTGTAATTGACAGGTCTCTACGTCACTCCTCCGCTGCCCAAATATGGTATCTTCCGTTCACTGGTTGCAAAAAAACCAGAGGCTTCAAAACGACTTCTTACAGTCCATGGTTGTGGCAGAGTTGTTGTATTGTACAGGTGCCCTCAATGAAGTGGCCACCGAGTGTATATTGTGATACTGTGTGAGGTCCGGTGTATCTTTACTGCCTCCCCAGTGGTCTGCAGTGTTTGGATTCTGCTGGTTATCTGAAAATCTGCAGTCGGGCTCATAAATTCCTTCCGACACTCCTCAGACTGAGTCACTGTGGTGAGCTTACAGTCACAGCTTCACTCTTATCATTTGTTTTAAGATTTTAAAATGAGCAGTATCTGAGGTGAATGCGTCCTGAATGTGGCTTCTGACTAAAGCCGGGATTATCAGATATTTTAACTTGCTTTGATTTTCAATGCGCATGCAGCAACAGCCTCAAGTAGCCGGAAAACACACGGGTTACCACACGTATCAAGGGAGAGATGTGTAAAACAAAGTAAACAATACAAATGATTTAAAGAGCATTTGATTCTATGCCAAGCTGTTTGATCCAATGTCACGTTTACCGTGTTCATTATAAGCAGTTTACACTGCAAGTACCTTAATTTAGCACCTTTCAAAACAAAGTTACAAAGTGCCTTGTGAATAATATCCAATAATAAGAGTAAATCCTGAAAAGACAGGATATATATATATAAAAAAGATAACATAATTTAAACAATTGCGATTTTAGAGATTAATAAGAGGATACTGAGGTTGTGATCTAAACACACACACATGGACATTTGGAGGTTGAACCCCAGAACGTAAACTGATTTCTGATCCTGTTTATCTTTCACTTTATGTATTTCTGCTTTGTACTTTATTTACTTGATTCCTGTTTTTCTGTGTCTTTGTAGACTTTGCCATTTTGTGTTCACCCCTAACTTTCTATTTCTGATTATACATCGGTACATATATTTTATTTTTTAGCTTCTTCTTTAAACAAAAACTCACTCACTCACACACACACACACACACACACACACACACACACACACACACACACACACACACACACAGGACCACCTATACCGGTGGGTTGTCCGTGCTCGGCTCTGTGGCCTGGCTGTAGTTTCCAATGTGACACGGTGGATGAAACCATCCGGCCTCCCTTCACGGAGTCCGGTCTCGGACCAGACCACCCACCCACACACACCCACACACACCCACAGCCAATATTCTGTCTGCTATAATTAGTTATATTTTAGTTTTATGTTAGTTTTTTTTTGTGTCTCTGGGGAAAGCTGTCTGAGTTCCAGTCGTCTGTCCAGTTTCCATTCCTTCATACTGAGATCAAACCAGTGAGGCCCGCTGGCAGAAAATGGCCTTCCAAAAACACCAGAAAATAAGTTCTTAACATCGGAGTCTGATTGGCTCCGAATGCTGCTGACCTCAGACAGAAAAAAATGATTGACAGGCACATGAGGGTGAGGAGGGCGGGGCCTAACGTTAAACTTCCTGTCTCTGAGAGAGAGGTCACACTCGGTCCACAGTGAGGACGCTATCAGTGCTGTGACTTGCTTCAGTGTGTGCTGTTGGGGTGTGTTTTACATTACCTGTGTTGCTTAATGGCTCGTTGACGTAGTCATGTTGTTAAATAGAGTGATGCACGGTAATGAGTCCAAAAACACACTAATGTGTTACAATTTGTGCACTTCTGGTTCCCTTGTCTTGAAGTAGATTGGTTCTTTGATTGTATTTTTGGTTAGATGCCTTAAATGAGGTCTGTGGTTGAATACAAGTTTGTAATCTTTTAATCAATTATCAGATGCGGGCCCGTTTGTATAATAGTTGATTGAAAGTGATGCAAAGGAGACATTGATGACCCAGAGGGGAAATTTGGCATTTTCGGGGGATTGACGTGTGGGCGTTTTGTTTAGAAAATACATCTTTTTTTTTTTTTTTTTTTTTTTTTTTTGTTTGTTTACCTCCCTTGAAACTATTCCACCGATGCTATTGGGAGCTTGGTTCTGTCTTATGTGAGCTAACTGGTTTAACTGGGGAAGACTGTGTTGTATTGGGAACCTCCCCATCCTCTGGTGTCCGCGCACTCATCAGTGTGATTTATGATCATAACGTTGGTTTTTATGATGTTGAGTATGTTTGCTTTAAGACTCTTCTGTGGCGGGACAAAGGCGACGCTGTGCCGGTGATGGATCGACCTGTTTTCTATGGCGATTAGAGTGATTAAAGTCACCTTTAGGGAACCATGTTGTGCTGGTTTATTACTTAATGACTCTGTGGCCGAGCTCAATGTCTGTCTGTCTCAATTGTGTCGACGAATCGCCTCAGCCCTATTCCTGACGCTCACTCTAAAAGCCTGCAAGGGACGAGGAATGAGAAATGATTTTCTTATCCAAATATGAGTTGTCTTTGTCTTTTTACCTTTTTAAATATATATTCAAATTTAGAATAACTGGTGACGGCCCTCATTGGCACACGCTCCCATCTCGATATGTTATCTGTGTCTGAAGAGATCGAGCATGTTTACTATGAACTACTGGACCCTTAATGGAAGCGGCAGCAGTTCATTACCCTTAATGCCAAAGTTAAAGCCAAGATCCTTTTTCATTTTATAAACGTCGTCCTAAAGCCATGCATTCAAATGAATTGATAAAATCGATATATCGCCCAGCTCTCCTTCAAATGGACCATAAACCTGTATTGCCCCCGAGGATGCTGGGTAATTTGTGTTGCTCCAACATGATAAATGAAGAGGGAGGAATGTGAGGAAGCAAATGTTTCCAGTTTGTAGCTAAAGCTGCTCAGCAGATAATGAAGTTAGGCTTCTCTGCTGCCCACTCTCTGAGCGGCACACTCTCCCTCCTCGTATTCATTTGTGTTTCTGAGACGAACGAGACTCAAACACTGACGGGTTCAATTCCCTCTGAGACAAAGACTAAAAGCCAAAACCTGTGTGGTGCTACTCGCTCTTTTAGGAGCCTAACGGCTGCATATCTAGTAGTCGTCCACTTCGAAATCATACACATTCATCATTCATCTTTAAATTTAGCTTTAAAATGAAGATAATCTGCATTATATAGGTCTATTTAACCCACAACCCAGACAAGTTTCTTGCTTCATCAATCTAATAGATGAAGCAAGAAACTTGTCTGGGTTGTGGGTTTAATTCCCGCTGTACCTAAAAGCCAGAGAAGTAAACATCGTGTCATTAACCACATTAACTCCGTGGTGGTAGAAGAAGAGAATCCTAGGTTAATTTGTGGAATTACTGAAGGATGGTGATGATGAAGATGAAGATGCAGGGAGGAAGAGGCTCTGGGTGGTTCTGGGTATTCTTATGCTAATCCATCGCCGGGGATGAGGAGCAGAGCAGCCAAGCAAACAATGGCGGTGGAGCCAGAAAGTCTGGCCTGCAGTCTCCCAGGCCCCGAAAGGCATGTCGGGCAACAGGGAGGCTGCTGCTGCTGCAGCACCCAGAGGCCCGCCTGCAAGGAGGGGGCCCCGGAGGGGACGGGGAACGGGGCCGAGATGGAGGGAGAGAGAGAGAGAGCGAGAGAGAAGAGGAGGAGAAATGAGAAGCAGCAGGAAGAGAAGAGGGGGAGGGAAATGGGAAAGGGAAAGCAACAAATGGAAATGGAGACTGGGGGAAGAAAGGGGTAAGATGAAGGAAAAGAGAAGGAAAGAAGAGGAAGGGAGGACGTAGGAGACATAAATGAAGAGGGGAAAGAGTCAACAAAAAGAGAGGAAACGGGTAAATAAGATACTGGAATGTAAGGTAATAAACACAAAATATATCAGTAAAAGGGAAGAATAAAAAACTCATTCTTTGAGTCATAACTTTAGTTTGATTCTTTATTAATTCCGAAATAGTTTGTCAACGCAGCTGTTTTATTAGCTCTGGAAACTGATGAAAATCTGCATAATAACAATGTTATTGTTAAAGTACATTACAATGCTCCTTTTATTAAAACTATTTCATTTAGAAATGTGCCTTAAGTCCCTTTGACATTAACCTTTCACTATTTTCTAACATTTTACAGACGAATCAATTAATAAATAGATACAAATCGTATTAATTGGTCTGATAAGACGCTGGGGATGAAACTAATGCATAAAAACAAACACGTCTCAGTCCGTCCCGTCACCCCGCTGAGCTCCATCCCAGCTGTCCCGTTAATAATCTCTACCTCAGCGATCCCGATCTCCCTCATTACTGCATTTATTTGTAGAGCTCAGGAGCTGTCGGTCTCCGCCGGTCCTCCAATCGGGCCTCTCGTGTCGTTTATTTAGTCTGCCGCCATTCTCCCAGAGCAGGAAGTGGAGACGCATTAAGGCTTGATTATTGATGTCTGGCCCCTCGCGCCTCAGTCCGTCCAGGAGGGACAAGGAGGTGGGGGGGTACGAGAGATGGATTATTAATGCCCCTCTACCAAAGGTCTAGTGTCATTTTCCAGTATTTTAACAGCTCGATGAGGTAAAGTTAATAAATCGCGTGTGAACGCGAGGAGCTGGAACTGCTTCAGAGCTGCAGCGCTTTCCAAAACAAGCTGTCCAACATTTTGGTATCGTAAAACCTTTCACCCAACGAACGCACAGACCTTCCAAAAGTTAGTATTGTGTTGAAGCAAGTGTCAAAGTAACTAAGGCATTATGTTAAATGTCTTATTTTGTCCTCGAACCAAAATATATTGAATTTAAAATGATATACAGCAGAGAAAAGTATCAAATACTCAAGTTTGAGAAACTGGAACCAGTGAACGATTCAACTCTTTGCTTGTTAAATGGCTGATTAATCAATTATCAACAAATTCTGTCAATCAACTAATTGATTAATTGACTAATCATTTTACTGACCCTGGTAATAATAGAACTACTCGCAGTATAACTCTGTGTATTCATACAGTCTGCTGCAGTAGCCACCGCTCATGGCAGTGTAATATCACTTTACATAATAGTTTTATTGCCAGCTACCTCTCCAGCCAAATGAAAAGTTATTATACCCAGAAGCTTTTAAAGAGCTCTCTTTCTTCTACGACTCTTAACCCGCTGCTTGGGTTTCTGTCCCAGCAGATTTCCCAGCATCCCCAGGGCAGTGTGACCTCAAATTCCTTCCCCCGAGGGGGGGGAACTGGCTACGGCTCAGTGGTTCCCTATACGGGTGTTTTATTCTGTACAGGTGGGACCGCTAACAATGACTCCTTTCATTCCCGTCCTCCAAGACTCTGATGTCACGTCCAGGTAGCCAGAGCAGCTACGCTACATTAACCTCCTGTTAGCTGAGGAGGAGGGAGACGTGACAGACAAGGACAGACCAGGGACAGGACAGGACAGGACAGGACAGACCAGACCAGGACAGACCAAGAACAGGACAGGACAGAGCAGGTTTATAGCAAACATTGCATTCGTATGGAGCTCCTTCAGTTATTTGTACATCCACTAGGACCTTCATTTGTATCAAACCTTTATATATAAATACACACATAAATACAGTACTTTAGTAAATGTTACTTTCTACAAATACTATTCTTAGAAATATAATAAGGTAACCTCAACACTCATGATAGCTGATTATTTGAAAATCTGCATGTCAACATCTTAACGTTGTGCATTTAATAATCGATATCCGGAGAACATGAGTCGGCAGAAACGTGACACTGGCATCGGCATTTATTTAGTAAATCTCTGCATCGCTCTCTGTCAGCTTCTGCTGCTGAGGGAAGGAGTTTGTTGTTTGACCGAGAAACAGACAAAGGATTAGAGACAAGTTTGAACAAGAGGAGGAGGAGGAGGAGGAGGAGGAGGAGGAGGAGGAGGAGGAGGAAGAAGAAGAAGAAGAGTGAAAGTTTCCTGACACCTTGAGGGTTTAGAGTTTGTAGACTCTTGCATTTCCTCTCTTAAATGTACATTTCAATTTGACTGATGTAATCATTTGTTGTATCTCAGCCTCCGTGTGTGTGTGTGTGTGTGTGTGTGTGTGTGTGTGTGTGTGTGTGTGTGTGTGTGTGTACTGTGTGCAGTGTATGCAACCACTTTACCTTGTGTTTTTAAAGGGAAGTGTGTGTGTTAGCTGATTTAGGAAAAGGTGGATGTGGAGAACAGAGGAGGGGGTTGCATGGAGTGGAAGCAGCTTCCTGTCTTCCTGAACCTGCCTTGTCTTGCCCTCCTTCTCTCTGAATATCTGAATGTATGTCTTTGTGTGTGTGTGTGTGTGTGTGTGTGTGTGTGTGTGTGTGTGTGTGTGTGTGTGTGTGTGTGTGTGTTATCTCACCATCGTCTTCCTCCTGCTGGTACTGCTGCTGTTGTTGTTGTCTGCTCTCTAAATGGAGCAAAGAGACACACATAAACTAAAGGTTTTGTTGTGGCAGCGAGGTGCAAATTCTTCCACTTTCCTGTTATCGACACAGTGACGCCGACACACAGATAAAAACCCATTCGGTGTTGCATACAGTATCTCAATACACACTCCTTCAGTTACTGCACACACACACACACACACACACACACAAAAAGTCCTCCTTTTCTCTCATGCACATTACTTATCTGTACTCGTGGGTTTGAAAATGTCATAATATCTGTTTGGGGTCGCTCCCCAACATGACTGAAAGATTATAAATGCCACAGGGAGATGGAACTGGAAAAGTCCAAATAAATATATCACTCTCCAGTGTTTTGCCTTCCAGGATCATAAAACCCTCTTTTATTATACAAAAACGTGGGTCCTGAGAGTTTGACGTCTTTGTTAAATACAGCTTTTACTGTCGAGCAATATCATGTTATCAGACTGCTTGCTGGTGAAAAGAGGTGGCTGGAGACACCATGTTGTGCCTTGATTCAGACTGTCCTCACAATGCAGAAATGTCCTCACTACGATGGTTTAAAGCTGAAGGTGGTCCTCACAAAGAGGGCAATACAAGCCCACACATACATCCACTCGTTTCCCTATCTTGCCTCTCATTCCACACACACACACTTTTCCTGTCTCACATCCCACTACGCTGACCCCTCATTCACTTGCCATAATACACACATGCACACGCTTACTCATATACACCCGTCAGGGTGTGTGTGTGTGTGTGTGTGTGTGTGTGTGGGTGTCTTTGTCTTTGTCTTTGTCTTTGTTCTCGGTCTCCTCAGCCAGAGATGTGTGAAAAGTGGGTCGCAGGTCGGGCCTCTTTGTCCCCCCCGGGCAAATGCAAAGTGACGGACACCGGCCACGCATCACCACTAATTCACTCTCTCTCTCTCACACACACTCACACACACACACACACACACACCCCTCCATCCCTTTCGGCACCCACTAATTGCGACATGCCTTTACAAGCGCTGCGCAGGGCCAGCGCCTGTAATTTGCAGAACATCCCTGGACAAATGATTTGGTAGTTAGTTGGACCGTCGGAGGCCAGCGCCGGGCCGGCTGGGGTCACCGGGTCATGGCTCACTGGGGGGGGTGTAGAGGGAGAGAAAAGGAGCCCAACTAAACCAAACCACCTGTTAGAAGTTTAAAAACCAAGTCTTACTCTGTTCTCACAGACTTTATCAGCTGATGTTTAAATCAACCTAATTGTGTATCTTCTCCTTCTTCAGGGTTTTGGACCCAAAGAGCCAGTGAGACAGAAGAAGACCTGATATTGTGATATCACCCTCCCCGTCATCTCCCCCCTTTTTGCATCACTCCTGCCTCTTTTCCTGCGGATCCTCATCTTCTCTGAGGCCTCTTCGGGCCCCCCCACCTCCCTTGACTCCTGTTGTGGATTATTAAAAACTTTTATCAAGACTCTTTGAGTATCAGCGGACCAGAAAGCTCCTGACCACAGAGCCCGGCCCGGTCTGGGCCCAGTTCCGGTCCGGTCTCAGTCCGGTCTCTGCTGCAGGATGGCAGGTCTACCGCTCTGTTTGGCTGTGATGGCCGCCGCTCTGCTGCTGACCCTCGGAGCCGACGGTAAGACATTCAACATCCACTTCACTGCTCGGCTTTTTCAATCATTTATATGGAGATTATATCAAACTCCATCTTTGAAATACCTTAAAATCATCATCCGCAGACATGAGAGACATACTTCTCTAACGTTACGCTGCAAAACATACAAGCTCAACCATTTCATGAATTACAACATCCCCTCTGATCTATCCTTGCTTTTCAGTCATCGACTTTAAATGCACCGAGGGAGTTTCGTGAGTAGAGTTACTCATTAACCCTTCGGTTTGTTTTCAGTGAGATAAGCAGTACATTAACATTAAAAGTCATTATGCCCCCCCTCCCTGTGCACACAGCTCTGTATCAGAGGACTTTTGTTAAAGCTGTGATTAAGTGTCAATTGGCTGATAATGGAGGGACTTTTAGAAACGATAGAGAATCCTCTAAAACTAAAACAGATCCTGACGGGAACATTTTCACTCCTTTACCTTTCTGAAGTAACTACATGATCATGTGTTTGGGAAGCTTGTGCAACCAACTAGTTGATTTAGTGTTTTCTAAAATGGTGTTTGGTAAGAGGAAGTCTTTTTGAGTAAAATAGCAAGCTTAAAACTGCAGTATTTAATGCATTAAAAGAAAGGTGTTCGTGTAGCACCCAAGAGCTAAAAACAAATAGCTTTTTCCAACCCGCATTAGTTTTTCCTTATGTGAAACAAAGGGGGGATAACTGGTTTTAAAGCTCAGTTTTTGGGGCTAAAACAGGAATATAGATATGCTTTTTGTTCAGATTTCGTCAGCACTGAGTGGATGTGTCCATAGTCACAAAAACGGCCGCTCTGAACATGTGAAAGGTCACCTTCTGCCCTGCAAACACAGCGAGCCGGCTGATAAGAGCAGGGCGGTGCTCTGCACAGTGTTACGGACTGTGATTGACAATCTGTGGAGGAAAAGGAGAGACCGCTTCTGTCGTCTTATCAGACTATCAGACTATTTCTCCTCTTGTTTATTCACGTTTCCAGACTCAAATGTCTGCCCTCGAAAGTCCTTCGCACTGGCTTTAAATTTCCAGTGCTGGTCTGAATGTGGCAATAGACGCCCGCCCCCCCCCCCCCCCCCCTCTCTCTCTCCCGTCCTGCAGGAAGCTGTTGAGCTGATTGCTGCCGCTCTGGTTTCCTCTCTGCACATTAACTGCTTCCTCTATGGCGCTGTACGAGCTGTCAGCGGCGCTAAATGCTCCAAACAGCCATTGTTCTCCGGAAATATCCTTCAGTCCCTCTGGAGACGCTTTGAAACACTGTTTATTTCCTCTCACTGGATCTTTTCTGACACTGACATCGAGAGTTGCGGCTGATTTCACGCTTCAACTGTGTTTCTCGAACCAGATTTTTATAAAAAAAAATTCTTATAGAGGCCTTCAAAATAAGAGCATGACATAAGTAAGAATGCTTCAACTCCTGATGTCCAAGTTTCTGATGAATAAACTTAGATAATTAGCTGAAATACCCTGAAATGCCTTTGCATACGTGGCTGTACCTGTACAGCTACTCTCAGGTGATAGAGGTGACATGACTGGTGCAGGGTGTTGTATCAGGAATGGATCACGTTCTCTGATCATCAGCTGTGCGTCGTCCTCTCCGGTCGACCTGCAGAAGTGATGACGGCTCGTAACGAGAGAGAACCCGTCTCTCCTCTGCGTCCCGGTCCTCCTTCAGACTGTAGACAGAAAGAAGTCTGTGAGGATATTCAGGATGTTTATTTGCTATCGCCAGGTTCCTCCCGAAATACTTTCCACTTTTTTTCCAGTTATTTTACAACAAGTCTCCACATGTCAAGTATGTCATCAAACTATCAAATCGCTGACATTTTGGCAGGATGAGCTTCACACAGCTTCACCCTCTCAGCCTCAGAGGCAGTTTGTCCCCGTTTCTCTTTCTCGTCTCGTACACTTGCTCTTCCTCCTCCTCTCCTCCTCCTCTGTGTCCAAGGTCAGAGGAGGAGGAGGAGGCGGTGGGAGGAGACACCGATCATCCTCTCGGGGTTTCAGTGTGTTCGACAGCTGAGCTGTCCTCTCTTTCCTCTGTCCTCTCTTTTCTTTCCTCTGTCCTCTCTGTCCTCCCTTTCCTTTCCTCTCTTTCCTCTCTGTCCTCTTTCCTTTCCTCTCTGTCCTCTCTTTCCTCTGTCCTCTCTTTTCTTTCCTCTGTCCTCCCTTTCCTTTCCTCTCTTTCCTCTCTGTCCTCTGTCCTCTTTCCTTTCCTCTCTGTCCTCTCTTTCCTCTGTCCTCTTTCCGTTCCTCTCTTTCCTCTCTGTCCTCTCTTTCCTTTGTCCTCTCTTTCCTTTCCTCTCTGTCCTCTCTTTCCTTTCCTCTTTTTCCTCTCTGTCCTCTCTTTCCTTTGTCCTCTCTTTCCTTTCCTCTCTTTCCTTTCTGTCCTCTCTTTCCTCTTTTTTTATTTGTCTCTGTTTGGACAGGCAGCAGTAAAATCATTTACACCTTTTAACCTTAATGTTTGAATTAAAAAATAGTTTTAAAAGGCGTCAGATACCAAAAAAAATAGTATAAATGTTGCTACAAAATGCCTTTTTATAGCCAAAGCTGTTAAATGTTTTATGAACACAAGCAGATTTACAAACACATTTCTTTAAGAAAACACTTGCAAGATTATAAATAATATTCAGTACTTCACCGTTTTGTGGCCTGAAACGAGAGTCCAGTGATGTCTTATCAGAGGCCGGATATCCCAAAAACAAATAAAATCATCACACTTAAAACTATTAAATATCCCCGTCTGATCGTATCATCCACAACCAAAACAGATTTACATCTATATCACATTTATATTGAGTGTCACGTGTCACAGCTGCCACTCATTCAGCCCAAACAACAATAACACTCCTGTCCTCAGCCCTGCTGTGAAGTCACAGTGTTTACAGATCATTTGTTTGTTTTACAACGCATGCTGTACCAGACGGGTGGAGCTTATGACCTCGGGGTAGTTCAGAGTGAGTCTGGTACATTTCCAACACAGAGGAGGAGATAACGCCGACTTTCAGATACCGTTCAACTCCTCTCCTTCAGCCACACTTTAAAAAACAAGCAACTGGGACGGGCCGGGTGGTAAAACAAGCGCTCTGTGGCCTGCTTTACCAGCAGCTCGGCCACATTCACTGGACTTTTACTTGTAACAGAGTACTTTTACTGTGTTCTATTTGTACTTTTACTGAAGTAAAGGATCTGAATACTTCCTCCACCACAGTTGTTTTACTAAAGGGAGGGAACAGTTCATAGACTGAAGTATTTATATTCCCAAAGTGCTGTTTCCTGTTATCTACATCTTAATTATTCTTTTACCATCTTTTATTTCCGTTTGTTTACAGTGTGGGTGTCCATTGAGTTTGATCAAACCATCTTTATTTCTCTGCGTATTTGCAGTCAGTGAGTCATTGTTGACTCGCTCAGTGTCGTAAAGTTTCTCTGCAGGAGAGCAGAACAGATAACGTTGTGTCTGCCGACCACACCGACCAAAACTGAGCAAATTCAGCAACTGGAACATAAAACGGCGAAAACAAACGCTCCCCAGTCTGCTCTCACCCACATTCCTAACTTCATACTTTCATCTGTAAACCTGCTTAATTTCCAAGGTGATGTCTTTAACTGTTGTGAAGTCTAAAACCTAAAGATATTAATTATACAAACTTAAATATGTGACGGAGAAAAGCAGCAAATCTTTCAACTGAATTAAATCACTTGATTAACAAGAGAGGTGCCGATTCTTTATTCCTTCGATTGATTCATTCTTTCAGCTGTTTTGTTTTCTATTTTTTTTTTTTTTTATAAACTTTAGCAGACAGTGAGTCATTGTTGACTAACTCACAGTCATAAAGTGTCTCTGCGTGAGAGCTGAGCCGTTCACTTTATGTCTGCGGACCTCACCGACGGCTTCGACCTGAAACTGAGCGTCCGTGTTCACAGCTTCCTCTAGTTCGGTGTTTTAAAATGAGAGAGGACGGCAGCGTTCAGATCAGAGTGTTTCATCAGTCTGCTGCTGCTGCTGCTGGATGTAAATAAACAGTCGGCCTGAATCGACGCTGTGACTTTAAGAGTCTGATTACCCAGCGTGCTCTCTGCCAGACCTCAGTCTCCACTCTGGCTGCCGGTACAATTAAGCACACATGTGTATGGAGCAGCCATTTCCAGCCTCAGCACACCCACCATTGCCTTTACGTTTCCTTCCTCCTCGCTTCAGGCACGCGTAACTTTATTTTATTTTAGCCAATCAGAGCTGCCCTCAGCCCTAATGTGCCGACTCGGCTTAATAAGAGGAAGCTCATCAAAATCAGGCGTTTTTTCTTATTATTATTATTATTATTAGTCTGCTTTCTCACTCTTACATCTGCGTTCCAGTCTGCAGAGTCACAGTAGATGTCTTCTGTGGTGGCAGTAGAGAAAAGAGAGAGAGAGACGTGCAGACAGACAGGCAGCTCAAAGTGTAGCTGTGCAGGTAGTTCATGTCCAGGCATGACAACATCCACGTCTGCACACCTCACTGTGTTTTTACTTTGAGCTTAAAGAAAGAGAGGAGAGATGTGAGGTTGATGCAAAAGAAATACAAAGTAATGGAGAGAAGAGAGATTAAAGGAGGACTGGAGATAAACAAAAGACCGTTAAGGTGGATTAAGTCTGTCTGACCTCTTTACATCTCTGGAATATTATCTCCTTAACCAAGCATTTGCAGCCAATGGCCCCTTTTTAAATGTGCTTATTGTGTGATTTTTAAACAGAAACTTGATTATCGATATCTGCATCTTTAACAATATCCTGACATTTTACAGACGAAGCAATTCATCTGAAAATATCGGCAGATGTTGAACATAATCGTTGTCCAACATGGAGGGTAATTGGTCTGTTAGTTGGGATCATAATCATTTTCATAGTAAAGTGTACATCCAATGATTTAATATGCGTATAATAAAAGGAGAATAAAATTGCCTAAAATGTAAAGATTATAACGGGATTCAGTCACAGTTGTATAAATAGCCTGTGATCCTTTTATGGTCTTCCTCCTCCTCCTCCTCCTGTTCTGCTGATAGAGGAGGAATGTTTCACCTCCTGCAGGAGTCACTCTGATAGGTCTGACCTCTCAGCTCTCCCCTCATGAGTCCTGTATTTAACACTGAGTTTAAATTGAGACCATTAAATGAGATTAGATTGTATTGACTGAAGAATTATTCTCTTTCTTCATTTAAAACATTCAATTAAACTCTAAACCTGGTTCTGGTTCTGACTTCTTGTCCGCGTTTCTCCTTCCAGCTGCAGGTCAGAACCCGGACCACGTCCTGCAGGGGACGGGGGTGAAACCTGAGGCCCGGCGGCCCGGCGAGGACTCGACGATTGCTCCCGAGGACGCCGCCCGTTTCCTCAGCTGCTCGTGCTCCGGACACTGTCCCGAGGACGCCATCAACAGCACCTGCCAGTGAGTAGAGGATAAATCTGACCAAGGGCCCTGAAAACATTCAGTCCAGCTTTGAAGGACGGTAGACTGACATCCAATCAGCCACAGAAGGTTAAAGTCATTGTTATTGATCCGTATGACTGATCTGTGATCTGATCCTCAGGACCAACGGTCAGTGTTTCGCCATCATCGAGGAGGACGAGCACGGGGATGCCGTCCTCACCTCCGGCTGCATGAAGTATGAAGGATCACACTTCCAGTGCAAGGTACACACACACACACACACACACACACACACACACACACACACTTGTGTCACTATAAGTGTGAGAGTGTTCCTGTCAGCTGTGAGACAGAAAACAATGTTTATTAATTGATTGATCGTGTGATCGTTGTGATCGACAGGACTCTCCCAACGCTCAGACCAGGAGGACGATCGAGTGCTGCAACACCGACTTCTGCAACAGAGACCTGCAGCCCACCCCCCCCCCTCAGCCTCCCCCCGGTAACATCCACACTCCCCCACAGCGGAGAGGTTCAGGTGTTCATCAGGTGATCGTAGAGTTAACCTCCAGTGTTTTTTGTTTTTCAGATGGCAGCCCTCACTGGCTGGCCTTCCTCATCTCGATGGCGGTCTGCTGCTGCACTCTGATCTGTGTCACCGTGGTCTGTTACTACAGGTAGGACGTCATCCTCAGCACCTCGTATACCTAAAGATATCATCATTTTAAGACTTGTAGGCCATGTAACCTTTTAATAAAGGTGGTCTCTCAGGTAGAAGTGACTGTCGGTTGAAATAAACTGCCTGTTATTCTGTATTTAGTGATATAACTCTGTGTGTCAGGTACAAGTGGCAGAGTGAGCGTCAGCGGTATCACAAGGATCTGGAGCAGGAGGTCTTCATCCCAGTTGGAGAGTCCCTCAAAGACCTCATCCACCAATCACAGAGCTCCGGCAGCGGCTCTGGGCTCCCCCTGCTGGTAGGAACACAGCACTGCACCTGGAGGACAATCACATTAATTACATAAACATGCACATTCAAAATTAAAGGAATAGTATTTACATGTTTATCCAAGTTTCCCCAGAATTTAGACTCTAAAGTTAAACGTGTACAATGCAACCAACAATTTTACTTTTTGTAATGCCATTTAACAAAGACACTCTCTCTGTCTGTCTCTCTCTCTCTCTGCCTGTCTCTCTCTCTCTCTTTCTCTGTCTCTCCACTCTTCTTCTTCCTCTCTCGGCCTCTCAGGTGCAACGGACCATCGCCAAGCAGATCCAGATGGTGCGTCAGATCGGTAAGGGGCGGTACGGAGAGGTGTGGCTCGGCCGCTGGAGGGGAGAGAAGGTGGCCGTCAAAGTCTTCTTCACCCGAGAGGAAGCCAGCTGGTTCAGAGAGACGGAGATCTACCAGACGGTCCTGATGAGACACGAAAACATCCTCGGTACCGAATCACATCCTTCACTTATACTTCACTTTTACAACAGGTTCTTTAAAGGCAGTTCCACAGTTTTGGGACTTCTTTATCATAAATATTGGTACGTTTTAATGTTGGAGTGTAGAGGGAGAAACAGTCGAGTTGTCTCAGTATTTTTAACACTTCTTTATATATTTTAAGCTCTAGCTGAAGGTGTCAGGAGGAAAGTAAACATGGATGCAGTTTATTGCAGTTTTCTTTCCATATTTCATTATTGGTGGGGGTCTGACCTGTCAATCATCTCTCTCTCTCTCCGTCCTGCAGGCTTCATCGCGGCTGACATCAAAGGCACCGGTGCCTTCACGCAGCTCTTCCTCATCACAGACTATCACGAGAACGGTTCTCTGTACGACTACCTGAAGCTGACCACGCTGGACACGCAGACCCTGCTGCGGCTGGCGTACTCCGCCGCCTGCGGCCTCTGTCACCTGCACACCGAGATCTACGGCACGCAGGGAAAGCCGGCCATCGCCCACCGAGACCTGAAGAGCAAGAACATCCTGATCAAGAAGAACGGCGCCTGCTGCATCGCCGACCTCGGCCTCGCCGTCAAGTTCAACAGGTAGACGGACGCGTTTCTGAGTCTACTGTATGGACTTCTGTGACCTCGGCATGTGACTGACGGCGCTCTCTCTTTGTCCTTTGCTCAGCGACACTAACGAGGTGGACGTCCCCCTGAGCACCCGGGTCGGGACGAGGCGCTACATGGCCCCCGAGGTCCTGGACGAGAGCCTCAACAAGAACCACTTCCAGGCTTACATCATGGCCGACATGTACAGCTACGGCCTCGTCATCTGGGAGATGGCCAGACGCTGCGTCACCGGAGGTACACACACACACACACACTCGCACTCGCACACACGCTCACACACACTCACTCTCTTGTGTTGTACTGGATTGCATTAGAATGTACAGGTTTTCCTAATGAAGTGGTATGTCTGTATTTAATTTTAACGAGGAAAATAAACTCATTAATAGGATTTCAAACTATTTTGAGGCTGATCTTAATTAAAAATAGTCGATCATCAGAAATTTAACTGGGAACTTTAAATTGTTTCAGTCATTTTCAAGCAAAAAAGCCAAAAGTTTTCTGGTTTCAGCTTCTCGGATGTTCTGTCAGTCGTCAATCGAGGGAATCATCATTGGCTTCATCCTTAATTTAATGTCACAACCCATTTCTGTCATTTTCTGCGAGTGTAGATGTTCTTTGGTTTGATGCTCGGCTGTGATTGGTCAGTGAAAACATTCAAAGGTTTAATCTTGTTGAGTTAACAGTCGCTGCTTCCCGTCTAATGAAATCAGCACAGAGCAGAACTACAGTTAGTTTCTTTATTAAATGAAGAGGCTCCACCTGCTGGTGAAAACACGTTACTGCACACAGTTCAGAGGATCTTCCATCTTTACCAAAATATTATTAAAACATTAGTGGGAAAAACAATTTTATAGATTTTAAAATTGAAATTTTATAGACCAAACATTTAAATGATTAATCAACAAAGTATTTGGCATGTTAATAGACAATATTTTTGTTCTAATGTACTTTCTAAACTAAATCTAAAATGTATTTCTTGTCTCAGGTATTGCGGAGGACTACCAGCTGCCGTACTACGAGATGGTTCCTTCTGACCCGTCGTATGAAGACATGCTGGAGGTGGTTTGTGTGAAAGGACTCCGGCCGACGGTGTCCAACCGCTGGAACAGTGATGAGGTGAGACTTCAACAGTCCAAAACCCAAAAAATATTACATTTATTGTGACATAAAACAGAAAGATAATTTAAAAAACCATGTTAAAACTTTCAACAGCTTAAGGAGATGTATTTAAATAGTTTGTTTTGTGCAACAAACACTCCAAAACTCAACTTTGCTGTCATATATGATGATGAAAAGCATCAAATTTGGACATTTTTGTCTGTAAAATGTCAGGGAAAAATGGTATAACTTCCAACAGCCCAAAGATTAATTTTACTGAGATATAAAACTGAGAAAAACAGAAAATTCTCACTTTCGAGAGAGTGGATCCAGAGAATTTTGCCATTTGTTTTTCTAGAAAATTACTGAAATTGAAACTGCTGAAACATAAGATTGTCCTTTATTATTATTATTATTATTATTATTATTATTATTATTATTATTATTATTATTATGTAGTATTATTACAGCAGCAAAGGGGAGATTGAAACAACAAAAGGCCTGAGTAAAAAAACAAAAGTATAATAAATAAGTAATCAAATAGAAAATGAATAATTAAAACGGTAAAACTAAAAAATATATGTTTTCCTAACTCTGTGTGTGTGTGTGTGTGTGTGTGTGTGTGTTTCCTTCTTTCCTTCCGTAGTGCCTTCGGGCCATGCTGAAGCTGATGTCAGAGTGCTGGGCTCCTAACCCCGCCTCCCGCCTCACCATCCTCCGAGTGAAGAAGACGCTTTCCAAGATGGTGGAGTCCCAGGACATCAAGATCTGACCGCCCTCCTCCTCTTCTTCCTCCTTCATCCCACCTGAACCCTGAACACACTCGACCTGCTCAGGCTCAGTGCAGCCCCTCTTCATCAGGAGGAGGAAGAGGAGGAGAAGTTGGGAGATAATAATAATGGACCCATTTCAGGGCTGAACTGTGCGTCTCCTCCTCCTCCTTCCTCCATCTTCAGTCTGTCTGGAAACAAACATGGAGTCCTTCCTCCTCCTCTTCCTCCGCTCTCTGCCGGGTTTGACGCTTTCTGTGAAAGCCAAACGAGGCGATAAAGATAATTATGATGGAGGGAAGAGAAGGAGAGCTCTCGATGCTCGTTGTGAATGAACACAGATTTATTTTTGTTTTTTTTAAAGGACCCTCGTCACCTTCCTCAACTTCTGCCTGTTTCAAAACGCAAAAAAAGCAGATTTTTTTGTTGTTACTTTCAGGACTGAGTTCTCCTGCCATATTGAAATATATCTCCTCTAAAAAGTAGAGTTAATTATAAAAAAAAGGTACTATTATAACATGTGAATTTTAACGTGTAAATAAATGTTATCATATCGTGCCTCCTCACGAGAGGATTTAAAACACAACAGAACACTGTGCTGCAGTGGTGTTGACGTCCAGCTGACTCCAGGAGACGATGAGTCACCACAGAGACGTCTACCGTCCTGTCCATCTGTCTGTCCGTCCGTCCGTCCGTCTGTCAGCTGTCTGTCTGAAGGTTTGATCAGTTATGAAGAGGTTGAGCTGCTCCGGTGTCACAAAGAAACCTGATTGGTTTAGTTAAACCTCAGTGGGTGGAGCCTAAAGGACCAATAGAGAGGTCCCTTAAATGGAGAAATGTGTGTAATTCATGGCACAATTCAAACATGATCGAAGATTTCTGTCTCTAACCGTTTACTACCAGACATATTTTTTCTGAAATAATGTCCCATGGTGGTCCACCGGAACAAGAACTGCAGAAATATGCAAAAATATCAAAGTAAATACGCCCTTTTTGCTCTGCTTTAGCTCGTTCTGACTCCCTAAAAACCTCTGGATCAACGCCCACATCTCTTAATTTGCAGTTTTTAACATTTCAGGCTACTAAGTAAAAGGAAAGATGAAGTCTCAGACGTTAAAATTTCAAAACATTTTTAAATATGGTTTAAAAAAAAGGACGTGACTCCATTTATAAATAAAACAAAACCAGTTGCTCTTAAAATTGTTGCTGTAATAACTTTGGCTCCTCCCACTCAGGTTTCACTCTTCAATCAGATTTATTTCAATAATTATTCATTCTGCATTAAAAGCATTACTTAAGTTGCAGTTTGGGACTTTCTCATTAATAATATTTTGGAAACAAGTCCAGAATGTTTAGCCTAGCTTAGCACAAAGACTGGAAGCGGGGGGAAACTGTTAGCTTAGCATGATAAAGTGCTCTAAATATTTTTGGATTGATGCATTTAATCTGGGTTTTTGGAACAGGTTTAGAAACAAATATATAAAATTAAACATTTTAGTAGCAGTTAGCATTTGAGCTAGGCTAGCAGCTTCCCCTATGCGTTACAGTATTTGTGCTAAGCTAGGCTAAACGCACCCTGGGCCCATCTCTGTACTGGACACATTCACCTGAAATGTTGGACTGTTCCTTTATACTCCTCAACTGTCGGATGATGTGCACGTGATGGCTCGGTGTGTGTGTGTGAATGAAGCTAACCGATCATAGTTCATACATTTAAGAGCAGCGACTTTAGTGTTTTTCTCTGTAATAAATATGCAGGACAATGTATAGGAATAATCTCTAATATGTAAATCTGTAATGTTTTGCTGTTGTTTTGTACAGCATCTGGTTCGGTGCCTTATGAGTTTACCAAGGAAATGATAAACTCTGTATACAGTCTGTCCAATGTAACAATTTTTAAGTAAATAACCTTATTTTAGTACACAAACTCCTCTTTCACCTGTGGTTTGTTTTTTGACTCATGGAAACTTGTTTCTGACAGGAAAAGAGATTAAAATATGCTATGACATATAGAATTGTTATAAAACAGACCATCTTTATTTATTTTCAAAGCAATTTGTAATGAAACTAAAAATAACCAGATGGTCAAACTTTGATTAACAATTTCCCAAAATATACATATTTTAAGTATTTTTGGCAAAACAAAACCTTGTTTTGATTTTTTATAAGATGCCAGGAAAAGACAAATTTACTGGGAAGTCAAAGTTAAGATGTGACTTAAATTATTTTAAAATGTCAATTTGTGAAGACTGAGAAAATCTAACCTGATAAATCACATTTTTTACTTGTTTACTTAGATTTCCTTATCTGGAGCGGAATGTTGACAAGACGAGAAATGAACGTCAGGAGTTATTTGTCACACCTGAAACAGTTAAAACCATATTGACGCTACCTATGTTACCGATATGAAAACCTTGATGTCTTAAATTATATATAAAAATGTCCCCAATACATAATTTGACCCACATTTATAATTTAATATTTTTACATGGAAGTAAATATTTGCATTTCAATTGCCAATTCCCATTTAATGCTTTTTTGTCAGATGTGAGGAATGTGGAACATTTTGTTTTTACTTTGATTCTGCAGGTTTTTTTCCAGACTTTTGAACACTGAACAGCTCCACCTGCTGGACAAAAGCTGCTGCTACAACTTACACAAATGTAAGAACCAGGTGAGAAAGTCTAAAAGGACAGTTTACATGATTTTAAACTCAAAAGAATACAAATCATTTGCCTATAATCAGCAATGACTGAGGAATGTCAATTTAATTTTCTTGCGCCCAAGATTGTCTTTAAATGCTGTAATTATCCTCATCAGGACTCAACTGTCATGTTTTAACTCCAGACATGCACCAACTGTATAACTGAGGTGAGCAGGTCGTCCACTGAACTTGGTTTAAATTCGGTCTCCTGATGCAGCATCAGTGCAAACGGGTAAATGAGGTTACGTGTCAGGTTAATGCTTTATGAATAGACCCAGTATTAGGGTTTTTAAACATCTTGAACATTAAGTCCTCTGTATATAATCTTTCCAGATGTAACCAAATTTGATATTTTCTATGAAATAAAAAGGCAAAACAAACCTAATTTCCTGAAGTCCGATGCCAAAATATTCAGTTTAGTCGCTGGAAATTTGTAATTTTTGCTGTAATCTAAGACTTGACATTCCACAAAATAGTTGGAAAATTCTTTTACGTTGATACTTAAAGTATTTCTGGGAATCCATTCATAGACCATCACTTCACTATCCATAGATTCTAGCTACCAGGTTAGAAATGTATAGTCTTGGCTATAATGTCGTTATATATTTATCGTAGAGACGATAGGATGGAAAAGCTTCAGAGAAAACAGTTTGAGATGTGTCAAAACATTTGAGTCTTTATTTTATTATTAACACCAGTCTACTTGTCCTCGGGCTTGTTGAAGCAGTAGGTGAGGCAGCACTTTCCACAGTAGTGACGGTCGAAGTGGCTCGCCATGAAAACACCGGCACCGCACTCGTCAGCGGGACACTCGCGCCTCAGCCGGTGGATTTTACCGTTCTCGTCAACCTGGAGGAGAAAAAAACACTTTAGTTCAGAAAGAATCAACTTAGTAAAACGTTTTCAAAGATCGAACTCAGTATTTCAGATGTTGCTTCCTCACTTGATCAAAACCGATGACGTAGTTCAACCTGAACGACATTACACACCATTTCAATAATGTAATATTTTGTACCTTGTAGTACTTGAGCACTGCGAGCTTGACCTTCTTCCTCTTGTGCTTGTTCTTCTTGGGGGTGGTGTAAGACTTCTTCTTCCTCTTCTTAGCACCACCACGCAGCCTCAACACCAAGTGAAGGGTGGACTCCTGAAGACAAGAGAAGTTAGCTTGTTGGTCTTTCAAAAACAGTTATTTTTCATAAGAGATAAAAACATCTATTTTAGGTCTGATGAGGACGTTTGTTTCACCTTCTGGATGTTGTAGTCGGACAGCGTGCGTCCGTCCTCCAGCTGCTTTCCAGCGAAGATCAACCTCTGCTGATCTGGAGGGATTCCTGCAGACAAGAAAACAGATCAACACACTGATAGTCCGACTCGGACTGATGTGTATTTAAATGTTAAAACCAATGTGCCAGAAAAATTTGAGTCACATCCAATTATTTCAAAACGCCTGGCTGAGCTTAACACCTCAAATTTGACTGTTTCAGGTAAAAACTGATCCAAGGAAATAAGACTTAAGTTATGCAGCACAGCATGTTTAATGTTCACCTTAATAACCAACGTTATATACATACAATTTGCTTGATTCTACAATTAGACATCGGATATTTGAAAATCTCTTGTTTTTCTCTGACATTCATTTGTAACAAGTTACACCTGAGGAGCCAGACTTTGTTCAAACACTCGGATCCGTATTTTCATTTCTAGTGGAGCTCTGAACGTTTCAAAAGAAGCCAAATATATCTCAGCTCAAGATGTAGCTTCAGTGAGTTGAAACAACAACAAACAAAACAATGTATGTAAATAGATGTACATAAATGTCCCCTGTAGTAGTACAAGTGCCACGCGTGTAGTTAAGTTACACTTTAGTTACATTCCACCGCTGGTTTCCTGCCTACAGTAACTCAGCAGTGAGTTATCTGCCACCAAAGCAATAACGTCACACATGACAAAAAATAAACAGTTAAAGTAACTCACCCTCTTTGTCCTGGATCTTGGCCTTGACATTTTCGATAGTATCTGAAGGTTCAACCTGTGAACGAGTAAAGAGACATGTCAGCTATGACACCTTCTTCCGGTCAATACTGACATCACATTTGGGGTATAAGGCCCAAAACGTTTTTTCCAACAATAAGATATCGAAAAGTGGAAATATGGTGATTTTAAGTCTGCTTCAGCCACACGTGTTTACGATGCTCTGCGTAACTGCTAGCTTAGCCACTTAGCTTAAATTATAAGCTACGACAGTGAATATCATCTACTCTAGCGGGGTTTAAATACGTTTAAGCACAGTCGCAGCTGATTTAAGTAATAATGGGGTTAATTATAGGTGTAAATATTCGCATATTTGACAATTAAGTAAATACAACTTGAGGTAACTGCAGCCATTGAACGCCACATCCCGGCTTGCTCACCTCGAGGGTTATGGTCTTCCCCGTGAGGGTTTTGACGAAAATCTGCATCCTGGCGTTCAACCCACCTACACGGAAAAACACACAATACTTATGAGCTGTTGCTGCTGCAAAGAAATGCTCGTTAAAATCGTTATTTTGTGGTAATCATTCGGTTTTAAACACAGAGCACGATCTTACCACAGGCTCACTCCTAATGGCGGATCATGAGAAGAGGGCTTCCGAAAGCCAGCGACGGGGTTTTCTGCCCGAGTTTGCACGGGGTGGGTAGCCCGTCAACAATGCCTGATCGAAATTATCAACATATTAATTTTTTTGGGACCTTTTTGTCAAACGTATCGGTAATAACGTTAGTCTAAACATGTATCACCGCGCATAATTTTTATCTAATTAAAAAGGAAACTGAAATATATAAAAAAAAACATAATTCTCCAGGTACACTTTCACTGTAACCATAACAACGCGGTAGACGAGCAATCCTAGTTGGTCCAAATGTTTTATGTTGTCGATTTACGTCTTTTTTGATAACTCTATCGCTATGTTAAGTTGGTATTAGTCTAAATGTATGTTGGGGCATATGTAAAAAGGAAACAACCAAATGCTTAAAGAAAGAAAGAAAGAAAGAAAGATAAAAAATAGGTGTATAAAATAATAACAAATGTCTGAGCCACGAAACTCCAGCAGTTTATCTTCAAGAACAGAAGAAAGATGTTCAACACCGGAAATTTTGGTTTATGGGAGCGATGAGAGGTTTCTCAGATCTCTGGATGAGTTTATCGAACATGAGATACGGTACCTACGGTGTCCAGAAGAGGACAAACTCCGGTACATGGTCTACCGCTACGTCTTTAATAAGGTATTACGTCATTGAAACTTAGTGGTGGAATGTAAAGTAGATTTACTCAAACAACGTCACTGTTACTTCTTGAGTACAGACAGACAGACAGACAGACAGATAGTACTTTTACATGTAACCTGTGGGTATTTTGCACACACTAGTATTATTGCTGGTACTAGATGATTGTGTTTGTACTTCTGACTGTGACTCTCTCACTTGTTTTTTTTCCTCCTGGTCTTGTCTACAGGTGATCGGACGAGCGACGGTCTATAAGAGACTTCTGCTGACCATAAAGGGGGAGTATGATGATGTGATCGGGGCGCTGCAGAGGAGGGAGGACGAGGCCAGGACGGCTCAGAGAACTCTGGCGGCCACAACGTCACACCCAAAATCACTGATGACCTGCCAGAGACGAGCCGCACACCTGAGGGACAGGTGTGTGCTATTGTGCTATGTTTGTGGGACATTTTATCTTGAGAAGGATGTGTTTGGGTTCAAACTTTAGTTAAAGGCCCTGAAACTCTATTTTAGCTAATTCAAAATTAATAAAGATGCAAAGAAAACGCTCAATTAAAGTACCCACTTCTTGTATTATCGTACAAATACAAATACGAATTTCAGATACAAATACATCTGTTCAAACCACACCAAAACACACCCGATGAAGCAGATAAGCTCCGTTTTCGTTAAACTCCAAAGAAGATAGTATTTATCAAAACTTTAACTTTGGTGCCTATTTAGTCATAAATATTTAATGTTATTTATAAAAGCTTAAGAAGCGAAGCCCTTCTATTACCTCTTTAAGGTAAGGGGGTATATACGATATAATTAGATGTATTTTATGCAGAACGTTTTTTGAGATACATTATGCTTCATACAAAATAGACCTGGCTGACCTAAAACAAAAAGCATCATGGCCACCTATTTAATTAGAAGATAAACCTTTTGTGTGAGTTCCTGATGTTATGGCGATGTTTGAAAGTTTATCTGAGGGATCATTGTGAGGTTTTAAACACAAATTTCCATCCATTTACTGACTGCATTCCTCTCTTTGACTCTCCAGAATCTGTGTCGTTCAGAAGGAAACAGCAGAACTTGAAGAGGAGATGAAGAGACAGAAATCATCTCAAGAGCAGAGCACATGGATAGCTGGTACCACTGATATGAACACTCAGGCCTGGTAGAATAAAGTGTATTAAGTGTTATATACGGGCAATGTAACTTTGGGGTTTGTCTGTGGTAGACAACTCGTTCTACCGTGATAAATTGATTTATATACCTATGTATTTGTATGAAAGAAGAGGTGGTTTATGGTTCATGCAGTGTCTGCATGAAAACAAAAACAGACATCATCTCGTTATACATGTTGTCCATGTTCACTTATCAGTCAGTTGTGTTGCATTGTTTCTACAGTAAATCGGGCCGAGCTTTTGTTTCAAGTGACCACAAAGAGACGGAAAATGACAACAAAGAGACTCGAACAAGATAAACAAAGAGCTACAAACAGACACAAAATGACCACGAAGAGATTATTATTGATTTATTGGTACGAGCCACAACTTCTGCTAATGGAAAATCAAAAAAGAGTCGGTCGTGTTGATTAAGAGCGTGACCTACTATGCATTAGAAATACGGCACAAGAGACACAGAATTACTATAAATAGACACAAAATGATGACTAAGAGATGCAAAACTACTAAAAAAAGGACACAAAACGAGAGAAGAGACGCATTGAAAGAAGTGTTTTGCGGCTATTTTCAGAAAACATTCACATTAAGCCTTATTCTCTCTTTTTCAGCCCTCCGTCCATGAACTAAAATGACCCTTTTAAACCCCTTAAAACCGTGGTGGTGTGTGGCTGCTTAACACCCAGGCTCAGTCTGAATGTCTTGTAGGAGAGGTTGTCTCACAATCATTTGTAAACACTGTATCATCTCCGGTAAAGCATCCACGTTTCCTCCTCACGTCCGTCTCGTCTCCCAGGTTTGACGGTAGCTGAATCGGAGGACCCGGAGTCTCTGGACGGACACCTGAAGCATCTGGAATCCCAGAGAGCTGCTCTACTGGACAGGAAGAGTCACTGCGTCTCTCTGGAGGTCAAAGCTGAGCTGGACACCGAGCTGCAGGCCGCCAAGGAACACAGAGACCAGCTGAGAACCAAGAACATCCAACTGAAAGTCCTGTAAGAGCCCTGTGAAGTGACTCATATTTAAATGGAGCCGAAGACGAACTTAGCATAAGACATCAACCTACCACGTTTACAACTGTCACACATTCATAACAACAGTCACACACTGTTTGTCTGCAGATACAAGCGTCTGAGATTAGTGTCTGACAGTCTGTCCAGCTGGGAGGGCGAGAATCAGCCGGTTCCTCTGGAGGAACTCTTGGGTTCCACACTGGAGAACATCAGACAGACCAGCGGTGAGACACTGCTGCAAACAAAAAACAACTTTGGGATTCATCTTCATGGGTTTTATGTGGGAGCAAGTGTAGTCGATCTATGCAATCTGATGTTGATCAACCAACAGGCGAGAAGTTGACCCAACGACACGTAGTCACAGCTCCTCATTTGCATAATAAACAAGAAATGCATAAAGACAATAATACAGACATATATAAGTTTGGGGAAATAAATTAGGGGGGAAGAGGAAAATATCAATGAATACATAAATAAGTATGTTTAAAAATGAATGAATACATTTGAAAATACATTTTAAACAAAAATAAATAGATAAACAGTTAAGAAATTGATACATATATATATTTGGTTGTTTTAATGGCATTATTATTTATATATCAAATAATTTATTTTTAATTTTAGCTTCTAGCATTAAAATGGTAAGAATGTTCACTACATATTGTTTTTAGGTATCATTTCATAAAGTTCCAACACCCAATTTAATTTTATGTCTTTAACAAACACATTTGCACAAAAGTTATTTACATAATTATCATAACCTGCCTTTATATTTCAGCATGTAACAATCTAAATGTTATCCTCGGGGGTATTCAATGTGTCACCTCTTAGGTGAAGTGAAGGCGTCCCATTAAATATATTTCATATTTAAACACCTTTAATCTTCCCCTTCATCCTGCAGTGACAGAGGATGAAGGCCGCAGCATCGACGCCGAACTGTTCGAGCACGAAGAGCCGACCGGAGTGGACGAGTCTAAACTGCTGGCGGACTACCTGAACAGGTGCTGCGTTCACAAACAACTCTTGGTCAGTTTATCTGAACTCTGCGGACTCGCTGAATCACCTTTCTCTCTTCAACAGGTTCATTGAGCTCTTTGATTCGGCTCAGTATGAGGAGGCGGCTCTCCTCGCTGCTAGATCTCCTCGAGGGGTCCTGAGGAACCTCGACACCATGGAGATGTTTAAAGGTGGGAAACAGAGTTTGTTTCTGTTTATTGGTTCTTGTTTGTTATTAAAACATGTCTCCCTCTACACCTGTCTCTCTCCCAGGTGTGAAGGGCCCCCCGGGCTCTCTCCCCCCTCTCTTCCTCTTCCTCCAGGCCTTACTGGTGACCGTCCCGACCGGTGAGGAGCTATCAGCTGCTCTCTCCCTGCAGCTCGTCAGCTGTTCCCTGCAGCAGGGCGCCACGCAGCTCATCACCCACGCTGTCAACAACAACAAGTAAACACAACAAGTGTTTGTTTTTATGATCAGCTGCTGCTGCTCGGCTCTTAACAGTCTTTATCCTCCTTTATCCAGACTGACCTTCTCTGAGGATGTGGGCGACATCCTGACTGAGCATGCTCAGAAGAACCCCGGCGTGGCTGACTTGTGTCTGGCGTTGGCCACCACCGTCTACGAGGCCTGCAGGCTGGACAGGAAGACCGCCCTGAGCCTCTGCAGGAGAGGCTTCATCCACAGCGCCGCCGAGTTCATGAACCACTGCTGTGACCTCACCGCTGGTCTGTCTGTGTGTGTATGTGTGTGCGTGTGTGTGTATTTGTTTTACCTGTTTTACCATCGTGGTGACGACATTCCTGCATTGTGAGGACATTTTGTCCAGTCGTCACTATTTTAAAGGACTGTTTGGTTTGAATAATACATTTGCTGTCTGAATTATACTGTTTTTATCTCCATTAAAATAGTTATTATTGGACGAAAGAAGGACAACATCAACAGCTGATTTAGAAATTTTCATCGTCAAACAGGGTCCTCACAAATATAGAAAGACAAATGTGTGTTTTCTTTCATAACTCAGACAATAATCTGTGTATGAATCTCTCTCTCTCTCTCTCTCTCTCTCTCTCTCTCTCTCTCTCTCTCTCAGAGGACTGTATGTGGGTTCTCTATCGCTCACCCAGCCTCTCCCTCCTCCAGCTGTTGACGGCGCATCAGCAGGGCCGGGCGGCCATCTTGTCTTTGGGCGTGGCCTGTTCCACTCTGCTGGCTGACCCTCAGCAGCAGCAGCTCGCTCTGCAGCTCCTGGACAGCGTTGTCAGCAAAGGACGAGGTAAACGCAGACTGTCAGCAGCCACAAAGCCAGCAGTGACACAAACGCAGTTCTTATGCATTTCTTCCTCAGTGCTGATTTTGGCATGAAATTGTTTTAACATTTTCACTTAGGAGCCAGATTTGAGTCATGAATCTACACACAACCTTGCTTTTAGCCTGATTTATAAAGCTGCACATGCTCCTGATTCTGTTCCATGAATTTAAATCATGGTGGAACTGGAAGCACCACCACAAGCCTCATTTCCACTCCCACAGGGAGCAATGAATGGAAGCAGAAACGCAGTCAAACAACCGTTTGCATGTCGATACTTGTGCCTTGTTCACCACTCATTAGACCTGAACAACAAAGAAGACATTGGCGAGGTTCTCCAACAGAACAGCTGTCATGACATTGCACGGTTGTGGGTATTTATAGCGCCTTAACCACCAGTGCTAACAGCTTGTAAGAGCCCAATATAAATGTGCCACAGACACTTATATGTTCTGTGCTTTAACAAACATCCTCTTGCAACAATTATTAATTGCCATGTTGTTTTCATGCATGATGCATCAGAACATGCGTGAAAACATGAGTAATTTAGCTAAATTTCTGCTCTAATCATCGCTATACAGGGAAGTCTGATTTTAAAATGTAATGACGGAGATGTCGGTTTTGTAGTTTTCCACATCAAGCAACCACGTGGCAGGAAAGATGGATCCTCAATCTGATCATTCATGAAAAAACAAAACAAAGAAGCAAACTAACTCCGGACCTGAAGTGACCTGCGTGTGTCTTGGTCCTCTCAGGGGTTGTGGAGGAGGCGATCCTGCAGGACAGCAGCTCTTCAGTGGACGTCTGGTCTGTCGTGGCGTCTCTGTGCTCTGAGCTGAACCGGGCTGACCTGAGCCAGGCCGTCCTGTCCGTTCTGCTGGACCAGAGCGGGACCCGAATCATGACCCCAGGCCTGGAGGGAGCCCTGCTCATGGAGCACGTCTTCCTGTGAAAACTGAACCTGAAAGGTAGAATAATCACAGAAAGCTAAATCCCACGAAGCAAAAGAATATCAGCTGTTAATAACCTGTTTCATCTTCTTCTGTTTGTGGCAGAAAACCTTCAAAACTTGTTTAAAACACTCAAGTTCTGGTATCTGTTGTGTAAAAGCTCAAATAGCTCTTTAAGTTTCACTCTATTTGTAATATCTGAATCTCTTACACTCAAATATCAAATCTACTGTAAGGACCCTTCAATGAATTTGAATGTTTATGTGGTGAAATTTAAAGACTTTTAAAATCATTGTGTGTTCGTGTTGTAGCCAGAATAGTCTCGCATAGCCAGAACTATTTCCATAGCGCCGCGTCAGCGGTAAAGAAAGGTCCGGCTCCACACATTGTCATTCTGGTGTCGGGGCAAAATAATGCTGTGGCTTGTTTGTAGTTCTTTAAACAATCACAATAATCTGGGGCGGCGCAAAACATTTGTCACTCTGTGCCCATTTTGATCATCCTGATCACAGACATGTGATCCTTCAGTTATCTAGGAGACCTTTGATCTTTGCTTTGTTTCCGTGAGATGACTCAGGTAAAAAGCTGATGTAGTGGCGGCTGACAGCCTGCAGGTGGCGAACAAATTCACAAACTGAGATTAAAGTGGCCTTCAAATGCTCATATGGTGCAGCAACGATAATCATAGTTTATTTAAAGAGCACTTTTAAGTCAAAGAAGCACAACATTGTTACGGTGTTTCATAATGTTACCCTCTTGTAGATTCTAATTTACCTCATAAGTTTATCATATAAAACATATGATATGCTTCTAAGATATGATGCAATACTCTTTTTGATTTATTGAAGAGAAAATCTGAATTATATAATGTTTTATATACATTTGAAAGGAGCAGGATTCTGCACAGTAAGTACTTTTTATCCTTGAAGTAAAGTCTCCATATATTTCTTTGTGGCTTAGAGATGTTATGTATTTGTTTGAAGTTAGCAAAGATAAGATTCTCAGTTTTATGTACTAGGTACTACCTTTTATAATTATTTTATCTATTACTTTAATAACTGCTTACAGACTTTGCCACCTGACTACTCCCCCCGTCTATTCTTTATTTATTTCTATTTGTATTGAACGGAACATCATTCAGAAATACTATTAGCTCAGAGCTTGAAATACAACAAATACTTCAGGTATTTAAAGGAAACTAAAAATACATTTATGACTTCTCAAACCAAACCTACGCCCTCGCCTCTGGTTGATAACATGCTTTTTATTAAAGGTGTTTACAGCTGGAGTCAGTCAAATAGTGTGGCTTTATCACAGACTGTTTGCAGTGTTTAACGAGGCAGATAAGGAGCAGGTAGATCAGAGAGCAGACATCAGATATATCCTGTTAAACTGTGTCGCTGCTGAAGCTGCTTCTTATATCTGTGAGCAGTGAAGAAGTGTTCAGATCATTTCCATGAGTAAAAAAATACTACATTCAAATAATAAATAGTCTGTAAAAGTCTGTATTTAAAATCCCTTGTTGACTAAATTAACACTTAAATCGTGGAGGATTATCATAACAAACAAAGATTTAAACCGTAATCTAATTTACATAGCCCCAGTTTAACTGTAATCTGAACCAAAATGTCCTCATAACAATAGCAGCAGGCCACGAGTCCTCACAAGTCCAACTAACCTGACAACACACACACTCTCGGCAGGTCAAACAGAAGAGGCTTTGTGTCGTCTGTAGGCCTCAATCTGTGAATGAAGCTACACACAGACACACACACACACACACACTGAGCAAACACACTCCCACTAGTCTATAAACTGAGGCTGACTGTTTACCCAGCATCCTCTCTGTCCAGCTCTTCTCCGTCTGCCTGTAAAATTCAGGAAGTTAAGCTTGTATTTAGCTGTAAACACAGAGGAGCTCACAACAGATAAAACAGCCGTAGGCGGGAGCTGATGCAGAGTTTATCTCTGATCAGCGGCGTGGGAAGACTGGCAGGCCAGTCCGCAGTCACCTCTCCAAACCGGTTTTCAACCCTCGCTATAGTCCTGCTGGCCTGCATTCTCCTGAGCCAACTCATTTAACATTGTATTGAACTTTCACTGAACAACAATCAAAAATCATTCCCCATGACCCCTCTTCCAAAATACAAAATACGATTTGCCTTTGCAACCCTAGTGGTCGTCCATGTCGGCACCAATAACATGAAGATGAAGCAGTCGGAGGTCTTTAAAGAAAGCCAGGGTGTCGGAGTTTACCAGAAAGATAAATTAGAATCGAAGGTGACTTTATGTTTCCAGCTCTTTGTTTTAAAATGAGAGTCTTGAATCTGCAAGTGATGGCTTCCATCATGCTAACAGACTGAGCTAAAGCTAACCCAACAGGTAAAAAGTCATCGTCCTCACCAGGTAAAGATATGTGTGGAAGACACGGGAAAACTAATAAACAGCATTTTGTTTGTGTATAGCGGCCAAAGTACATTAACTCAAGTACTGCACTAAAGTGCAAGTTTGAGGTACTTCTACTTGTAATTGAGTAATTGTAAAATTAAGTTTACTAGGATGTTGAATGCATGACTTTTATTTGTGACGGGGAATTTCTACACGGTGGTGCTGCTACTTTTACTTCAATAAATTATCTCAATACTTCCTCCACCACTGATTTACTTTATTTTAGTACAAAATGTAATTAAAGTGTTATTTATAACAAAGCCTTTGGATGTTTTGGATGCTCACTATAGAGAAGTAACACAGCGGTTAGATTTATGTTTTAATGTTTGTATTTTCAAACAGTCTGCTTTACGTTTTCAAAGAGGAGAAATATTTTCACACAAATTTATATTTGAAGAGCAGAAGGAAGAGAGAAAGAGATGCAAAGATTCAGTGCTGACTCACTACCGCTTGGCTCCATTTACAGCATATTGATCTCCTGCTGTGTGTGTGTGTGTGTGTGTGTGTGTGATGCTGGCCCAGCATGACACAGCTTCTTTGATTTTCAAACCACACCTTTTCCTATCTCCCATGGTATTAAAGGATATGTTCACAACCATCCACAGATAAAAAGAGACAGACAGACAGACAGACAGACAGACAGACAGACAGACAGACAGGTAGACAGATAGATAGATAGATCCTTCATCATTTTAAGTCTATATTACACATTATGTATTGTAGATTTCTATTCCATATTTTTATTCTGATATAAATGATGGACGACAGAATCCACAGTCGTCTAAGGGTCATTGTTATATATTGTGGTTTTATGATCAAACTTCCTCTCTGTGTTTCAATCCCATCACTGCAGCTCAACATAGAAGCATGTAGTCTCATGCACGAACATTTTCATATTGTTATTGTAAATCTGCTAAACATTTTTCTTTGTTTTTTTGTATGAGTGTTCCAAGACGGATTCTCCAGCGTTCATTTACTCAAGCACTGCTTAAGTAAAAAATCACGGTATTGTACTTTAGTTGGGTTTTCCATTTGTAGCTGATTTTTACTTGTACATTTCAGAGGTAAATACTGTACTTTTTACTCTACTACATTTATCTGACAGCTGTAGTTTCTGTTCTGATGACAGTTTTCCATCCCCTTCCTGTCCAGTGAAAACCATGTAATTCCAGGTGTGTTGATGTTGAGTGTTTGTGATAAACTGAAGGATAAAGTGTTCGTTTATGTGTTGAGCAAATGATTCTACTTCTTTAGGTAAATAAACTGTTTAAAAAGCCTCTTGGGTCAGATGGAAAAGGCGTCATCACAAAGCTGAAAACAGGGCTGTGTTCCTGAGTTCTTGGAAAGTTTACTTTTTAGAGACACGTGCTACAAACATATGATGATCTTATAAAATATGAGGCACTGTTGTTGAAAATGCAACGTACACATTAATGCAGCAGAAACATCATTTATGTTAGTAAAACACTGACAAAGAACGTTTTACTGCACAATGAGTACTTTTACTTTAAAAATACTTTTGCTTAAGGTCTTGAATGCAGGATTTTTACTTGTTGTATAGTAGAGTATTTTTACAGCGTGGTATTTGAACTTTTACTGAGTACTTCTTCCACCTCTGGGATTCACCAAACTCTCTTAACTATGCAAACTTCCATAAAATGTCATTAGAATAATCAATGTGCCTAAAATTGCCATATAAATAAACCTGGACGTTCCCCTCACATATATATGGATTAATTAATAATTAACAATAATAACACACACACACACACACACACAACATCATCATCATCATCATCATCTTGCCTCACCACACCTCAGAAATATTTCCCATCAGCCAGCTCTGCAGAGTATTTTCCACCAAACCAACAGCAACAACACCTTTAATCCATGGAAATATCAACTGGAACCAACACACACAACAGATGCCCATTCCTGATGTAATACTCCCAGTCAGGAGGGGGTGTGTGTGTGTGTGTGTGTGTGTGTGTGTTATAAATACTCTGGCATCAGTAGAAAAAAGTGAAAAATGCTGTGTAATCCCCCTCATCTGTCCCCCAGTGAGTGGAGCTGAGGTGAGTGTGTGTATTCGTGGACTTTTTTGTGAGGACATTTGAGTGTCAGACCTTGAAAGTGAGGAACATTTCCCCATCCTCACCTCTTCTGTTTGAGTTTCAGAATTGGGTTTAGGTTCCTAAACCTGAAACAAGTTTATTATTCATTTAAAAACATAAATATGGTATTTTACAGGCTGATTTAAGGTATTTACTGTAAGGCTGAAAAAAATTGTAAAGAGTTCCGTGTTTCTCGTTTGTTACCTTTTGAAAGAAGAACACATAATCAATATGCTATCTCACTCCTAAAGAGAAGAGTAAGACATTTCTCACTGTCAATGCAATTTATCCTAAAAACAAAAAAAGCAGAAAGTACAGAAAGAAAAAGAAGAAGAGCACAAAATAGAAACAATCAAAGTTGGGAAACAGATTTGTAACTCGTGAAATGACAAAATTATTAATATGTTTGTACCATTTATCCTCAAGGAGGCTCAGATGGAAGCAAAGGCTGAAGCTTGTTTGTTGAAAATGTGCTGAAAGTAAATTTAATCATCATTCAGATGGAACGATTCAGATTTTAACAACATGTTGTTGTGATAAACAGGATGTGGGAGGACAAACTGACTGACTGTTTATTAAAGATAATAATGAACGGATGCTTTCTGATTATCTGTCTTCACATCGGGATACTTTCTGTCGTTGTTGTTTCACTTGCTGCAGTGGTGGAAGAAGTATTCAGATCCTTTACTGCAGTAAAAGTACGATTACCACACTGTAAAACTTTAACATG